TTCTTATTCATTCCACATTTTAAGCATCCGCTGTGTTTTTCAATTTCTATTGTTAGTAGATTTTCAAAGATTGTATCTGCTTTTAACCTGTACAGTAACTTTGTTTCACCCTAATAGTAATGGTCAGGGCTTGCCCCTAACAGTAGCCACCTAGCCACAGACTTGTAGAAATTCAATTTTGGCTAGTGGTTTCCGATTTCCACCGGCCAGTTTGGCAAGTAAACAAACTGAAATTGTTGTAACATCTAAGATATCACTAGCCACTTGGCCAGTAAGTTGAAAAGTTAGTGTTGAGCCCTGATGGTGCAGCCCCCTTGTGTGAAAGACCTCTAACCAGGGTGTAAAATTAACTTTTTTTTCCGGTAGCCACTTGGTTCCTAAATATTTTGAAGTGGTAGCCAATTCCAAAAAGTTTGTGGCCATTATAACACACACACACACACACAAAATTTTACCCTGTCACTAGATAGATTGTCATATCAGTGATTCAGTCATGCAAACATCAAAAATGAGCTCGCTAATTCGCACGAGCTACTAAGAGGACACTAGAATGGATCATATACAACAGTATAAGTTACCTTAATCCAATATGGGGTCTAGTGACGATAGATTTACTTTCGACATCGTGCATGTGCTGCGTTTTGGAAACGAGCTTAACGAGGTACTTTGCTGCAGATTTATCATTACAAATCTTCAAAAATCAGTAGATCTCTAGTTAAGGTGTGATTACAAATTCTAGTCGCCAAAGTGAAAAATGTAGTCGCATTGGCGCCTGTATTAGGCGCAATTTTACGCCCTGCTAACACAATCTCTAACATGCTATGACAAACAAAATATAATTTATTTTTTTACACTTTTCAAGAATATTGGATAAAAAGTGGAAAAAGGGAAGTATGTGCCCTCTAAAAATGTCATCCCAAGACCCAGCTTAAATTAGATACTGGTAGTTTTAAATAACATCACAAAGTTCAAGATGCGTCACTCTTAATCCAGAAAAAGAGGTGTTTGGTGGTGCAGACTACATCTGGTGGCGAAGACTGATCATCACTGAATGACTTTAAGTTCTAATAAAGTTAGCTGTGACCTCACAAAGCTTTGTTGTCAAACTTGAGCTTGTTTTATCATGAGTCTACATGTTTGCCAAAATGACATTTCAAAATTTTACCACCTGAAATTACTTGGTGTCCACAGAACAGGGAACCTTTTTTTCTAGACAAGGAAAATTGATATTGAATAATTAGTCCATGCAAATTAGTGGAGCAGGAGAGAAATTTCTTGTAGCAGTTGAAAAGCCTCTCCTCATCAGATTCAGCTCGTGTATCAATACCTTTCCCTTCTCAGCCAGACCAATTAATAACAGGTGGATCATACTTTCAGAGTGCAGCCAAAGTGGTTCTGAAAGTACAATGCAGGTTGTGATATTTGTTTTAATTACCCCCTCCTCCTCCTCCCTCCTTCCAAAAAAATAGACTTCTAGGGACTCTTATGAAATTTTTTTCTTAACCCAATCATTTAGTTCTCTCCTCCAACTGGGAGTTTGACTCGGGCTCACCTTCAAGCTGGTGCTTTGACTCAGGCTGAACCACAAGAAACCTTACACTGTAATGGCTAAAGATTACTCACTCTAAATGATATGTTCATCTGCTGCTGGACTGTGTCAATAGTGAAAATGCAACTGGCATGCTCTTGTCGGTAATTTCTCATTATCAATTCTCAGAGTTGAACAGAATTTCGGTTTGCTGTCAGAATGAGTGGGAACCAGTCTCCATCAATGCAAAGAAATGCTTTCTCGCATTCTTTCCACTTATCCTGCCAAAGAAATAAAACAAATTGATATAAATTAGTTTCCACAGTATTTTCAATGTAAAGGTATTTGTGTTATCTTACTTATTTATGCATTGTATTGAGAAAAGGAGTATACTTTAGCTTAAGCTCTTTTTTGTCATGTTACTGATGTGTGACAAAACGGTCTTCAAGAATTTTGAATTTATACTAAAGTGTTTATTAATAATGAAATTTGTAGGCTTCATCTGCGACAAGGAAAACAACGCTTCGAAGCAACAGAATGGAAACTCAACCATGCGAACGGCTCACGGTTTTTCCCAAAACCTGGCGCATGCGCACACGTTATTTAACTCATTCTGTAGAGTTTTCTAAGAGTTCTAAGAGTTCTAGAACGTTCTAACGCTCTGTGACAGGCTCAGTATATCTGACCAGCGGAAACATAAAATAAAATATTTTACTTTATGTAATAAAAGTTATTTCACTCGTTCAAGAAGGACGCCGCCTAAACAGAGCCGCAAATATTGAATAATTCAGTAAACAGTAAGGATTTTTGGAAACAACATCTTGAAATATGTTAAAAAGCAATCAGGTTTTTCTAGTGAGCTATTTCAATTTATTTCGTTCCTGTCGCTGTGGAAAGACCAATTTGATACAAACTTCGAAGATGTTCTCGACCGCAGCTCATTTTTACAAAATCGGTTTATTGTCGTTATCTGTTCCGAGATGTCCTTCTCTTTACTTCCTCGGTCAAAACGAACCTAACGGTAAGTATATAAGAAATATTTCAAGGAAGAATGCTCCTTATGTTTAATTCTAGGTTTCCTTTGTAGGAAATAACTTTTTAATTATCCGCCAAATTGTGGCCTCGAAGGTCAATACACTGTTGATCGATTTTTAAGTAAGTGCATCCTTTGCGGCTTTTGCGTGACCGAAGCACGAAAACTCGTTTTCACCGGTGGTACCGAGTCTATGAAATCATTGTTAAGCTAAATCATCAGCTTTTTTAGCTAAGACTGAATTTGATCACTGGCAAGCAAAAGAATACCCCCCCCCCCCCCACAGGGGGATCTCGGACGTCTGTTTGTCTTCTCTAACACGGGTCAAACCACAGCAGTTAATGACTGCAACTCATGTTATTAATCTAACACACTAAGCCCATTATTGTTGCAGGAAATTATAAGGGCTGCTGGAAACGATCAAGTTCAAACTCTTCGTATATCACACCCAGTGGAGTTAGTTTTCATTTTGATACTCACAGGCTGGTCAGAAGACTACAGGAAAATGGTTTGTTAAGCATTTATTTACATTGCCAAATGCTAATTATATGATAAGCTGAATTTTGCATGCATTTTGATTGGTTCATCTCTAAGTGGAATTCTATTTACATTTTAATTGGTTTATTTATGATCTATTGTGAGGGCAGATACATAGATGACATCACCATGAACAACATTTTTCTTTTTTATCATACCACTTTTCCTAACCTCATCTGGGTTATTTTACTGAACACTGACATAAAGCACCATGCAATCTATTTGTTGAACAGTGTGATATTCTCATAGAAATCTGTGATGTATTGGTATTGATTATAACCTTCTACAACATCTTTTTGTCCAGAGGGGACATTTCATAAATAAAAATAGTTAGGATTATGTTGTTGAATGTTTCACAACTACTGATTTACTGGTTTTTACTCTTATGAATTTTAGCATGAAATGATGTACTATTGATTCATTAATGATTGTGGGGCTCCTAACGTGTCAGAGAACAGCCTCTAAACTTGTTCCACATGGTAGAGGCCCTCTGTCTGATGAGATTTTCAGAAGTTCTTGTTGGATCACATAGGGTGCAAATTTAGCAGAGATTAAACTATTAGAGGATGGCTAAATTTGCTGCCCGCCCAAGAGCTTTGCAGAAATTATTGGCAGAATTGACTGAAGGGTTGCAGTCATTTGTTCAGGTAGCTGCCATAGTGGAAGATACATTGTCACTAGATTGTAAGAAAGCTATTGCAGCATTCATGGCACAAGTGGTAAAGTTGCTACTTCTGAGGGTAGTTGGCAGCGCCTGTATGGGAGCCTGACGCATCAGATAAGACCCTCCCTGCCATCATCTGGTGTGTCTTTTTGCCACTCCTGTTGCTGCTAATATGAGCTAAGCTTACTTACAGGCTATTTCATTTCGTACATGTTCGTCTTTCATTAGTCCTTTTTAACCATGTTCTTTCAGGATTTACAGAAGCACAAGCTGAAAGCTTGACAACATCTTTGGTCGAAATAATCACATCAAGTGTTCTCAGTGTAACTAATAGCACTGTTTCAAAAATTGATCAGGTGAGCATGGTCACAATATTGCAACACAAAATCTGTTTGTGTGACCTGATCAAGTTATCCTTCTAGAGTGTTGAAAATTTTTTTCAGATGCACAAATTCTGACGAATGCTGTCAGCCCATTTATAGTTGCTATGTTATGTATGTACTGAAATGTCATTTGTCAACTGACTTGACAAGATGATAGAGCTTTGTTCCTCATTCAAAGAGTAACACTTGCACTTTCCTTCGGCAGCTCCATTGGAAAATATTTTGATACACTTCACCCTCCTCTGGACTTGGAATCTATTTTGCTGAGACTTATTTCATGGTGTGGGTTTTGTAACATTGTGTTCATTTTTTTTTCCAGGAAAGGCTTGAAGTCAAATTCAAAGGCTTAGTTGATTCAGTAAGGTGTGAGCATGTTATTCTTACTCTGCATAGGTTATGTCATTTAGCATGTAAGTGTATTATTATTCATTTTCTTACGTCATATGTACAGACAATAGATTATATATCATACCTACATACAATAGTTTTATGTGCTCTTGTCTTTACAAGTGCAGCCCAGGAGTATGCATGATGAAACAATTATTGGATTCGGTTTTCACATGATAGATATAATTATCAGGGCCTCAGTATGTGTTATGTGCCTCAGCCTTTGACTTCAGCAGATAACACAAAACTTGGGCCTCGGTAATTATGGCTATCATGCTTAACCTCATCCAATAATTGTTAACTGTCTGGTGGTTTGAATAAGTGGATTTTACATAAATGGTATTATATCTGTTTGTTTCTCCTCTCAGAAATGAGATGTTCCTTCTTGAGCAAGGCAAATTTGCTCGAATTCAAGAGGAAAACCAGGTAGAAATCATAAAAAGTTGAAATCGAAATAAGTAATCAGAAAACGGTAAACTAGCTGCGGCTGTCTACAGATTGTCAGTTTGCACTTTCAACTAAAACAATGTCGGTCTAAAGGGGGTCAGTTTCCAAAGAAACAGTGGTGCTGCGTCGGTGGGGTTAATTTTTAGTGCAAAATATTCTGGTTTTATCAACTGAGTTGACAAATGTCAATTGGCTACCGTGAAGGTATCAAAAGGTGACGTTTCGAGCGTTAGCCTCTCGTCAGAGCGAATCGCGAAGGGCTAATGTACGAAACGTTACCTTCAGAACTTTTTTACGGTACCCAATTCCGTCAAGAGAAAATTGTAATGTCTATTTCGACTGCGAGTTCCCATTTTCGAAGGTGATTCGTCGTGCGACTCAAGACAAATTGGCGAAAGCCATTTACAGTGCTCCTTTGCCACTCGTACCGGCGACCTCTAAAAAGAAGTAGAGAACCCGCTTTGGCTTGCAGGAATCACATGAGGGACACGTACCATATTAGCATAATACATTGCATATCAAACAGGGATTTAACGTTACAAAAGATGGTGCACTTTGTTTTAAGCCGTTTTCAGGTCAAAACGGCTCAAAACCATACCTTTAGGGCGGCACATACCTAATACCTAAGTTTCTAGATCTTTATAGCTAATCCAGGGGGGGGGGGACTTTCTTGGGTAAGGGCTTCATACGCCTCAGTCAGTGTGTGCTGATTGGATAAGTACGATGATCAAACAGTCTTAAAGCTCATCAGCAGTGATCACTCTCTTGTAATAAAACCGCTCGCTGCTTTTTGTGAGATTTTGAGTGGATAATCATTCATGTTATTGCACTGTATGCTAAATGCTAAATTTAAACTCCGCGGTTTTGTCGGCCGTCGCTCTTTTGCACAGGCTGCACGCCTTTCACGGTTCACGCGGACCGTCACATTTTTTCGCTGATTTATATATATATATATATTTTGTTTTCATTTTCTTTGTCAATCAGAAACTAAGAGACGAAGTGAAATCCCTCAAAGGAATCTTAGAGGTAGAAACAGAACTTTTATTTACCATTCCTCATTACTGTCGATTTCTTGGTTTTATAGGCATAAATTCTGCATTTGATGATGTTCCCTTTGTAGGATGAGGTAGCGAAACTCCGAGGCGGAATGGCGCTAGATTTCAGCTTGGAAAAGAGTGGTGTCAAAGAAGAGGTTGGAAAGAGAATTTAGTATTTTTATTTCCTGAAAAGTTTTTGCACTTACTTGTCGTGTTTGCTTCCAGTTAGCATAACGTCTAAAGCAAATTTGTTTATTATACTGATTGCTTGAATTTCATACTCATACGCGTCTCCATTCCTTATGTAATACTTCGTTTCAGCTTGCACAGCGGGACCAGAAAATTAAGGACACAGAGAATAGAATAGAGACAGAGGTAAAGCTAGCTGTCTGAAAACATTTGCTATGATAACTTATTGTTACTGTTGCGCTTCGTTAACAGACAGAACAATTTTCAAGTGACTATCCTAAGTAATCCGGATTTGCCGTGGTTTTATTAAACCCTGCTCTGTGATTGGTCCAGCAAACACGTGACGCGCTATACTCTCTCAACCAATCAGATGCAAAACCAAAAACAATCTAGACTTGGTCATTCGCATTTTCCCGCGCTTCGAGCAGTTTGCTGATTCCACTTTGAGTTTTCATTGGCTAATGATAATTTAAACCCATTTTCTGATTGGTCGCTGAGATAACTTGAGTTTTGGTTTTTCAACACTCAATTCAAATTTGTTTTATTTTGCTTGACTTAATTTTAATTGCTGGTTTATGATTGTTTTAGGTAGCGAAACTGGGGACACAACTTGAAGCACAGAAGTTGGATTTAATCAAGTACATTGTCGGTACGAAGCCAATGTTTTCCTTGTTGGTTATCCCCTTTTTTTGCAGTCACTTTACTACAAATTAAAAAACAGAGTGCTCACGACTTTTTTCCGCAGCTTCGAAATCTCATAATATCACCAAGGGTATGCGTGGCCTCTCTGTAGCGGTCATTGCACCCGGGTCAACGACTTTCCGAAGCAATTTGACAGTGTTATATTTTACACCCTTTTTGTGGAATGATTATAATAGTGGTTACCAAGACTCGGCATTTTGAAGAAAGTCGTGTATTCGTCAGCTCACTAAACTTAAATGAGGATGATGACAGTCAACTGTTTATTATTATTATTTTTTTTTTTTTGCGATATTTGCCGAAGTGCGGATACGTTTGCGAAGTAGTGGATCGATAGCTGAGGGGGCGTGGGTTTAAAAGTGAAAGGACGGTTATATGCCGTCCGAGAGCGATAGGTTATTTTCAGGCTGGATATATTTGGAATAGCAGGAATTTCACATGTTGACGACTTTCAAAGAGCTCATCATTAAAACTCAATTCTAGTCGTTTAGTTATAGAACAAACGCTTGTAGGGAAAGGCAAGCTGATAACACGTAAGCTGGTGAAAAGTACAGAACAGGTAGGTGGCCACAGTAGGTTGATTGTCAAGTATTTTCCACCGGAACTTCACCTTCTTTTGTATTTTTTCGTCCTCAGGAAGCTTGCTGTCTTGTGTGACACTTTTCCTAGCTGTCTGGCGATTTGTGAAGACATAGTAGAATAGTTGTATAGAAAAAAACGATTATACGATAGCTTTTTATTTGGGACTAAACTTCCGCTTAGCTAGCGGGCAACTTGTCGCAACCATGGACGTTTTCGTAGAAAGGTATATACTGAAGGAGTTACCTTTTAGCCCCCAGAATTGTTCATTATGTCAAATCTCCTTCCAATTTTTGATACACACTTTATGAGAATTTAGAAATTCATCAGCTGGGTGACAATTTCGAGATCGAGCCTCATTCTTCAAACGAGTCAACAGAAAAATATATCGTTATTAGCTTGGAAGAATAAATTTAGAGATCCAGGGAGTGAAAAGGTTGAAATAAAGTATATACCTCTCGCCGGAAATACTCTGAGAGGAGTTCCAAAAGATTATAACTTTAAAATTACTGATTAATGAAAATCCCCTGTTCTAATGATATTTGTTTTAGATAACATGTACCATGTATTATGATAAACTGCAGAAGTGGCGTTTTTGCAGAGTAAATCCTATTCCTTTTTTTTTTTTTTTTCAAGAAAAAAAATCTATTGCAACTTTGGATACAAAACGTCCCGCTAATTTAAGAGCCGCCCTTTTCGGTCCTTTTTTTTTAACAGTGACGCCAGATTAAACCGTGAGAGTTGGGTCCTGTCTCTTTGTAAACGATTTTACTGACAACCATGCTTGTTAAGATCCACTTTCCTAACCCAAGAAATATTACTGTTTAAGAAATTATAGATCTTTATTTGCCTCCGATCAGTGTCTAATTTTTATTCAACGTGTGTGAAACGGCTACCGACGGGCTCGCATTTGCTCATAGTATTGTAAATAGCTAAAAAAGTTTGGCTTTCGGTTGAAGGATATCGTTAGTGTGGAGTGCACATTTTGCTTCAATCGGAGGCTTAAAGCGCGGGGACAGCTAAGGGAAGATTGAGTGGGGTGATACAAATCCTTTCCTATTCATTTCGTATCTCTGTTTGAGAGAAAAAGCCTTTAAATTATAGCCTTTCGGTCTGGAGGAGGCACGTGTAATGTAATAATTTATGCGGTTAAAACAGAATAGTGAGGTCAAGGGTTTTTGTGTGTTTCTTATCTTGTTTCTTTTTTAATTATTTTTAGTTTTTATTTTGAATAATGATAGTATACACGCGGTACACGCTCTAACAAAGTCCAAAAGCCTCTGTACACCATCAGTCCCGTATTACGTTAAGAGCTGCTTGTCCAAGAGGTCATGAAGCGAAAATGCAAGCACTGTGAAATTAAAATCATGAACCACATAAAACCATAACCTTTTCAACAGCACAAACTCATTCAGGAAAAATATTGAAAAGTACGTCTTCCAGCGTTTACACTCCTCATCCTTGTGCACCGCTACTTGCTCCGTTTCAGCTTTCAATGGACAATAAACACTGTATTTTTTGCGTATGTGATCGCTTTAAGAATCGTAACTTCATTTTGAAAGAGGTTTCCCCTTGAATTTTAGTGCTGATTTCATTCCTTATCAGCAATGAAAGAAACTCGAAGCATGATAAAATAGATTTGTTTTAGTCAGCATATGAAAAGTTTCTAAGGTAAACAGATGATCACTCAGCAAAGGTAATTGGTGCCATTTGTCCCCACTAGGACGAGAAATCAATTAGTTCTTCAGTGTTGTTAAATAAAGAATGATGTTTTATAGGTAAAAGGTTTCATTGCGTCATGCACGCCATGCACCAAATTTGCTTTGTATCACATTCCATGTAGGAGTTTTACTATTAAATTTCAAAGATTAAAAAAAGGATTTTTTACCGTGACATTTAGTTAATGAGTTTGATATTTGATATTTTGAAGGAAGATATTTTGGTTTGAATATTAAAGTATTTAAAATCTAATGGAAGAGAGTTTGTAAATGAATGACTGCACCTCATTTCAGACAGACAGGAAGAAGTCGTCTCATACGCATTAAACCTAAGCCTTCATAGCAACAATCATGTCCCATAGGAATACTGCTAGTTTTATACGTTTGGAGTCATTTTTAACAGTTTTAATGAAATTTTTCATCTATTAACACGTTGTAATCGATCGAATCTGTCGAATGTTTAGCGTATGACTGCAATATTTTGACAGTTTAAAATAGCAAGGCTCAATGACTGGCACTCCCAACAATTGGCCGATAAACATTTAGTAGATTGCCTTTCTGTTAAAGGTCAATGCACCTCAGCTGATTGTTTACGTGTTAGTTAGCCTTAGATCTACATGTGGACGGATGAAGTCAAGATAAATAAATGGGTCACTCAGTGTTTTTGCGTCATCTTGACCCATTCCAGATCGATTGAAAAGTAATTCTTTCAGTATCAGTGCGAGCCATCACTATCAGCGAGGTTGAAGTAAACGATGACGCCAATTTACTATCTGACGAGCATGCTTGATAGCTATATCTTTGACTTCCTCGGCGACTTCCCTTTGAAAACGTATGTGATTGTTTCCGCGATCACGTTTATGCGAATTTCGACGTTCGAGAGAAGAAAGGTAGGCTAGTTTTTCAGTTAGTTGTGCTTTATTTTGCCCAGCACTGAAGCCTCGCGAATTCAAGCTTGGTAATCTGGCTTCAACTCGAATTTCCCTCTAAAATGGAATAACTCTAGCTTCTAACGTTGAAGTATGTTATTTTATTAGTTATTTACAATCAGTCTTATCAGCTGTAAGTTGAACTCCGCGGTGTCTCAAACTGTTTTACGTTTTCCCTGACAGTTCCGCATGGTGGGGTTCCTCTGCATATTAAAACAAATCAACTAGGCTAGACTTTTGTGAAAAAGAACCTAGGCATGTCACGCAGTGCATCTACGCTAATTCCTCCTTCAATTTGAAACCACTCCTACCCTTTAGATATGTTTTTGAAATCCTTTTCAGTCGAAAGAAGAATAGACTACAGTCAGTTTGTGAGTCCAAATGTTGCTTGTAGTAACATCTTGATGCAATTTTACAATCATAGTAATCTTGGTTTTCCGGGCGTGGGTTTTTAATATCATATCAATTTTGATGATCAAGGACTGAGAAAAAATTCAAAAAATCTTTATTAAGTCGATTAGACGATCATCAACATAGGTGCCAAGGTACGATAAACATTTGACAGTTTTTAAATCAGGAACAATCTTCTTAATCTGCGACGGGAGAACTTCGTTAATTTGAAGGTTTGTATTCCAGTATTGTAGCTGCCGATTTGAAATCAAAAATTGCCGTGGCTTGAAAGGTTGACATCGCGCCTACAATTAGAACTGAACAACAGCGGAGAGCATCGCTTGGTTTTAGACAGGGTTCTTTAGCTAAAAACGCGTTAAACATTTACCCGCAGAAGATCGTAAAATAGGCAGCTTTATGAATTTTCAACGTGTTTGCATTGTTAAGAGCTCCGTTCGCATCAAATTGAACTGGCTTTCTGTTCAGTTTTCCGCCGTTTTTCTCCAGTTTATCGGGCGGAGACCGTGAAAAAGAAAAAGGGTCTGAGAGAGGGTTTGATAACAAATATGGAAGAGCTAAGACCAAGAAACACAGGCCTACATATACAAACGAATTATCCCACCGCAAAGGCCAGTAAAAACATAGCTAAATATTTGGAATATTTCGAATCAATCCTGAATGATGTTTCACGATTAAGTGAATCTTTCTCTTTACATGTAAATGCTTTTGAAGGCAAATTGATTTAAACAGACTGATTCGCAAAGTTTCTTAATCATGCAAGTTTGATATTCCCACTTGGATAAACGTCCTCGACATAAAATATTCCAACATGTTCCATATCATAAAAGGTACAATAGCCAAGTTCAGTGCTTTTATGCCGTTTTTGTTCACGTTTAAATGGCTTCCATTAAATTGAGCTTTTTCGCTGACCTTTGCGTGCCGTCTACCAGATTGTGTATTTAAGTCTTAGGTGACATAAAAGAACAACAAAATTCTTTAAGTCATAACAAAATGGACAGGTCTGAATGTTTGCACAGTACGTACTAAGGTTGAAATGAAGCCCTTCACTTTTCTGGCTCGAAGTAAGTTTGGCGCACGCACCGACTTTAAAACGATATCGAGTCATGAAAAAGGAAATTAGTTCTGCAGACTCCTGGCTGAATATGATAATTCCTAAGTTCAAATTTCGGTTTTTCCTTTTTGATTTGATCAGTTTTGATTTGATCAGTTTTGATAATTTCGCGTTCCGTCATAAATGCTGAAGATCCGGTCTTCCTCGCATCCTCGCGGTCAAGATTTGATAGATATAGAAGTACATTTATTTCTTAGACAAGATCTTACAACTGGGAGGTTGTTTAAACAAACGCTGGGTAGTGTGGAAAAGCATTGAAAAGCAAAGGTGAAATTAAAGCAAAAAGTAGCAAGGACAATCTAAGAGGAAACACATTCACGCCGATTCCAAATGACAACCTTCAAAAATTTATTGACTTATTCAAAATCACCGAAAGCCGAATACGTCGCTTGTGCATTTGTTTTCTTTGCCTTATGAAACTATTAAATTCACGTTTCGTTCAGCCGTCCCACAAAGTAGAGTTGAATCAAAATACTTCAAAAATTTAACACTCTCAGTGTCATCGATCCTAATTCAGTTGTTGTGGTTTTCATTAAATATAGATATCAAAGTTGCCACTTCACCCGATTATTTTGTGAAGGCTCTACGGCAGTATTCGGAATGAATGTAAGCAATGCTACCGGCGGGAACGACATGACATCTTGCATTTCAACAGAGGATCCTGTGGCAGCTAAAGTCTGCAAGACCTTTGCCTACTGCTTGCTTCTTGTAGTGTCACTTATTGGAAACACTTTGATCATCATGGTAGTTTATCGAGACGACAAAATGAAAACCACCACAAACTTACTCATCGTAAATATGGCCATTTCCGACCTCTTAGTTCCAATATTCGCCATGCCCCGGGCTAACGTCGAGATAATCTTCGGAAATCACCGATGGCTTATAGATGGCGCATTCGGAGAAGCCCTTTGCAAACTCACGGCATTCTTTCAAGACATCTCTACGCTGGTTTCCGTTCAGACCTTGGTGGCGATCGCTTTGGACCGTTTCTACGCTGTTTGGTTCCCACTAAAAGCTCTACGAATAAAACCTAGAGTGAAATACGTTATTTTGCTCATCTGGTCGATATCAACAGTTATTCATGCCCCATATCTCTACGGATTCCAGATTCGCACTTTTAACGACGGTAAAACATACTGTTTTTTGGGCTGGTCGGGAGATGTTACGAAAATTGTCTTTTTAGCGCTGATAACATTAATTTATGTGATACCGCTGTTTTTGATAACAGTTTTTTATGGTCTAATAGTTCGAAAGCTGAGAAAGCAAACACTGTATGGGGTACAGAATTTAGTGGTTCACTTTAGCCGCCGCGGAAAGAGAAATCGTAATGTACTTAAGATGTCTTTGGCAATCGTGGTGGTATTTTTCTTTTCAATGTCACCGTTTGTAGTGTATTTATTAATTGGACTTTTCAGTCCTGAAGGTTCAGTTTGTCTTTCTAAGAACTTTCGCTTTGTAACTCAGTATTTAGTACACTGTAATGGCGCTTTGAACTTTTTCGCCTACTTTATCTTCAATCAGAGCTACCGTCACGGTTTTTCAATGATTCTTTCACGAGTTTTCTGCGCTTCATCTTACCGTTGTCATTGGAAAAAAGAAGGGGAACTAACTTCACCCTCTATCGGACGAGAATCGCACAAAGTTACCAGAGGAATTAGTAACCATGGACTGGACTTAGACCATAAGGATGTTGTTCTTACTCAGTTGCACCCACTAGAAAAAATTGAGTGAAAGGAAGGGACAAATAGAAATATCGATAACATCTGAACAGTCTAATTAATCCAATAAAGGCTGAAAGTTTCTAAAGAAACTGTGGTGCTGTGTCGGTGGGGGTAACAAGGTAATTTGGTTATATCAACTTAGTTGATATAACCAAATTACCTACTTAATCCAAGCTCTCAGTACGAATCTCAACCCTTAACACTTTAACATCAGTATGCATATTCTTCATACTGTTTTCCATACATTTCCTGAGGTGCTGACAAGGAGAATTTGTTTAACAATCAAGAGCTTGTAGCCATCATTTCCTTTATTCACGTTACCATAATGTTTTATTCAGGGGTGATATTGTTAGAGAAATTACTCTGAGGGGTTGAATGGTTAAAAGAAACATTAAAGGAAAGCAAGGTTTCAAGGTTTGAACGTTAAATCTCCTTTTTACGGTACCAACTGCAGAAAGCGAAACCTTTTGATTATGATGTGACACTCGGAGTGCGTCCCAGTTTTAAGATAATTAATATTTTGAAAGGGTTCTTTAGGTAAGGAGAGCTGAGTAGCTCATTTTTAGCCGTTCTTGAGTATGTCAGCGACGCTCCCCGAAGAGCATCTTTGGAGAAAGTGTTGTTTGACATCTCAACGAAAGGCTGTGATTGTAGCTTGGCCCGTGAGTTGGCTCTTAATTTATTGTTTTGTTATTGTCGAAACAAAACTAGCAACAGAGGTAGCATTCAAAAATCTGTTAATACCAAAAAATGCATCCAAGCCTCTTGCAAATCTCCTGATCCTCTCTTGGACTGTTTCTGTAGATCTTTTCTTACTTTACACAATTGAAGAGTGTTACTAAAATAAGACTGACGAATGACTAAAAATGCATTTAAAACGGTGAAATCTAAAAGATTTAAAGTCGACAGTGTTTCCCTTTTTAAAGGTTTATGGAAATGCAATTTTAAACAGCAAAGATATCGCACCTAACTTGAAGTTTGGTGGTGTTGCTCCCGTAGTAAACATTGCACCGACCGAAAAGCAGGAGAAGTAGTGTAAATACCAACACGCGGTTTCTGCTCCAAGAATATTACGATGACTTATTTACTTGCCTAGAAAGTCACAATTACACCATTTTTATTATCTTTTGACGATAACTTTATTCTTATTTTAACTAAATTTACATTATCCAAATGCATTGCAAAACGAACAAAAAACTAAGGTCTCTATTCTTTTTTCATTAGGACATTGTGTAGCAATTTAAGGTTTTATTTTCTAAGACAAACCATGTAAAGCGCGTGCACGCTTGCTACCACCAACAGCATATGAAAAATCCTTTTCGACGTTTTTGAGAGAAAGTCCATGGCCCCGTCCAAACACGACGGGATAAATTCAGAGTGGAAACACAACAAAAGTGTACCACCCACACAGAAAGAGCGATAAATTTTTTTGTGACCACGTGAAAACGATCATAAACAGTAGAATCGCTTGATCGCTTCCTTTTGCAGGCGATTAAAGAAGATCTTGTTATCCTTTTAAAGGGAAAACTATCAAGATCAGAGTGGACGGAAGGCCTTACTATAATAACTAAATTAGAAGCAAAACGAAACGTGTAATGATCCGAACAATGGCTGTTTTAAGAAAAACCATTAATAATTTATCTGGCCTTCCGCCTGTTTTTTACTCTGATATTCCTTGCTTCCTTGACCTTGTTTTGTATAATGAATGAGTCTGTGTGTGTCAGTGTGTTGTGCGTGTTATATCTGACCCAAATAATTACATTACATAAAACACCTAAGTCTAGCTGCCCTTTTTTTCTAGCCCCTATGGTTATTTGG